CATAGAGTCGCCCATTCCACCCAACATGGACGCCATCTCTGAGACACGAGTGGAAGAACTGAATAGCTGAGGCTGCAAAATGGCTTCAGAATTTAGCATTACCACAGGGAAGCATGCCACTGCCAAGGTTGTTAGCAATGCAGTTCAGTTGAGAACATGCCCCTCACCGACTTGAGTTGGCAAGTGTTTCTTTCCCGTTTGGTGTTTAGGCTCATAATGGGCCTTCAATTGATGCACTTCAGGTTGAGGAAAAGAAAAATGGCTCCTGCGGATGCCACTTCATGTATTTTCACCATAGGTCTTGATCCAAGAAACTTGTTGCCCCTCATGAATTGTATAATCTCAAATGATCTCAACAATCATGTTTTAGAAAAAACGTGCAGAACACGTCAATTGTACTATAATAACGGCACAAATAATGGTCTTTACCAAGAAAACCCTTTTTGGACGTATGGCGTCTTTTCCCTCTTGTGACCAGGCGGAACTTGTGTTTCCTCTTAGAGGTCGTGGTATGGATACAAGTGTGTTCTGGCCCAAGTCGCAGTACCGGAAAAGAATCATGCATGAACATGCAATAACATGCATGAACTAAAACAGTGGCCCACGCCTGCAGACCTCTGCAGAACTAAATACGCGGCCCTAGGCCCTACACAACAATTCTGAGATGGAAACTCTCCAACTCCCATCTTCCCACCCTCCCCCGGCCTTCGGCAATAGCCCCACCACCGGCCGCGTGCCATCCGCCGGCGCCACCTCCATGAAGACGCCGAACTTCCCGCGCCCCACCACGCGGCCGCGCACCGTCGCGTCCTCGTCGTCGGGCGCCCTGAGGCCACCGGGGGCGAGGAGCGAAGCGTGCGGGTCGCAGGCGAGCGACCGACCAGGCGCCTCTGGAAAGGCAGCAGGGCACGGGCCAGTGAAGAGAATCTCTCCTGCCGGGTCTGAGGTTGGCTGTACTTCAGATTCCCGCGTCTTCTTGAGGCATATAGTGCATAATTAGCGCATTCTGAAAGTGAAGACAGTATAAGACAGTTCAAAAGTCTAAGACTGGTCATGATATTCAAACAGAATTCACCACAACACAATGATACTTACCTTACAAATGATCATCTAAATGGGCCCTCTCCCCTGACCACTTAAGATCAAAACATCTCAGTCCATTCCTCACAGGTGCATTACCAGTCGAGAAAGGGCTGGTGTTCCCCAAAATCCCTCTCTAGAAACCCACACACTCTACAGTCCAATGCAGTCCACAGCCGGTCGCTCACACCAGTGCTCACGTCCGAGCCTGTCCACCTTCCAATGTTCCAGGTCTCTTCCAAACCCCGGTGGAACAGGTGCCACATTCAAAGGCACCAACTGACACACACACACACACACACCGGACCGGTCTTTCTTTTGCTTCAACTCTCTCCACCGCCGGCTCTGTGCCTTGCCGCGCTCTCGGCTCGTCGCGTTCGTCGAAAGGCGGCCTGTCTCATGGACAAGACTAATCTCTGCTCTTCCAAGTCGATGTTCAAAATCCGCACTTTCACCTCCGAGAGCTCCGCGCGGCTCCGCTCCGCGCAGCTCCGCTCGGTGTACGTTCACCAATCCGATTTCCGTGGTGTGCGTTCAACGAAAAGACACGCGTACCGGAGCCTTTCTGCCCGAGATTTGTGACATAAAGATTCGCCGCTAGATTCAGTCCCTGCTGGTACCCCTGGGACTATAAAAAGAATAGTCTTTAGTGACACGAAGAGGAATGTCCTTTACTTCAGTAAGTCAAAAAAGAGTCGAACTGGACTTCTAGGGGGGTTCTTAGTTGAAAGAAATCGAAACTCCAGTTTGCTGCTCGAGATCCGCCCTCCAGAAGTGGAGGGGTAGGACCCGGAAGGCTTTTTCCGGAATTCCGGTGGTAGGGCTGTTTCGGTCGGCCCGTTGACGCCCAGGTGAAGGCAAGGCCTCTCAGCAGATGAATCCGTTTATTACGCAGATTCAGCCGGTGGCCAAGAGCTTGGAATCTTTCACTTGTTGAGCTTTTGGTCGTCCTTTTGCACTACACTTGGGCCCTTGCAAAATGGATCCGCAAGTCCAACACCGAGAAAAACACCATCCAACACACACCTAAATCATGATAAGCCATGTTTAAATGAATCCATACTCCAAAAATCACCAAACATGATCCAACATAATTCATCATACTCCAGGTTCATGGGGCGCCCGTCATTTCTTCGCGACTGCTGCCTCCGAGCCGATGGCATGCCTCGTCGGGCGCTCAGGGGGGCACTGGAAGGACGTACTATGTAAACCTGAGAAGGGAGGGGGAAGCAATTTTAAGAAGAAAGCACAACACAAAGGCACTCTCTTAGAACATGCATTTTTTACGTACTGGAGTAAGTCAATAGCTAGCAGTGAACCATCATGATGCAAATCTATCGAAGGTCTCGAGTACGTGTATGTTCACGATTTCTTACACCTAGTACCCCTGCAACCGTCTTGATGATGCGAGTGATGCCGCCACAGCCTTTCCCACCAAAAATCATCCCCCAGGACCTTCAAAGTGACCTTTTGAGATCCCAGCTTGAGGTCACTTAGTCCATAAAGAGGTCACTTACAGACTCCAATTCGAGGTCACGTACTGAAGGTCCGGTTTAGGCCGGAGTCTTAGTGCAAACTTGATTTGTTCAGGTGATGGTTTGGATGCCCTGCTGAATCCATGCTCGTCCCGGCCTACGCGCGCCTTCGTTGACCGATCACCATCGCTTCCGCATGGTCATCGATGCACCCGAATGACCGGTCGGCTTCGAGGAATAGGATGGAGGTCGAGAGCTTGGACGAGTATGGCACCATGGGATGCCATAGATTATTTGAGCCTATTATCTGTAATATCTATTAAGTATGGGTCTATCCTATTATCTGTAGTGGATGATGATGGTTTACTGACTGTTACAGGTAAAAGGACAGACCCTTTTAGAAGCACTTTTAAGCCTTTGCTCCAAACAATGCATGTCACATGTCTCTAGATTGGGGTGGTCTTGAGATGCTTTTTTGGTCCAGGTTTTTTTCCACCCAGGAGTTCTATGTCGGGGTGCTCAGACCCCGGAAGGAGGATAGGGGTGGGGTGGGTCTCTACCTCCACTCACTGGATGGGTTTCCCACCCAACTTGACTCCTGGACATGCTTGGGGATCGATGGGCCAAACAAGAAGTTCTGAAATTCCTTCCTGAGATCATCTGTGACCCACATGTAACATGGTTACTCACATGGTTATATGGTGATAGGGCCCGATAGGGTGTGTACTTTTTGTATCATCTGAACTGGGTTCCAGGATTTGATTCAGCATGATGATCTGATTGGATGGCCCCTTCAATCAGCCAAAGGCCAGGTCAACCAACAAAAAATCGAGCATCTTCGTAACAGGGCCACCGCTGAAGAAATCAAAAGCAACGCATCAAGAATCACGCAATATCGCGTACATGAGAAGGACCTGGAAAAAGCAAGCAAGCCTGCAGCAAGAAGTTTGTTTTGCGCAAGACTCCTTGGACTGCGCCACACCTCGCAGCTAGCTAGCATCAACTAGCAGTAACTAGCAGGACAGGCCAGAAATCCAGTGACAAAAAGGATCCAAAAGGCACTGAAGGACCTTCGCCCCAACCAACTTCATAGTATGAAATAATATACCTTTACCTCCATGTGACCCTCAAACTAACCTCAAAACCGGCCATCCACGTCTTTGGCTGGCCAATCTTGGGCTGGATGGAGGTACGACTCGAGCCCTGATCGATGCCCAGATGCTCTCCATCCACCTCTGTCTCGTGCACCAAGCCCACAGCCCGTGCGCCACGCTCGCTGGAGGGCGCTTGCACCGACACCAGGAGACCAAAGGCTTTCCTGGGAGCAGCCAGGAAAAAAAAAAACATAAAACCAAAGGAGTGTCAGTCACCTATATTAGTAAAAAAGATGGGAGCATCTCTCTCTCTCTCTCTCGCACTTTGCTAGTTCCAGATAGCTCCTAGTTGGTGCAAAACGTGACAAAAAACAGGTGATTCGGGGTGTACATTATTGATCATTATTGTCCATTCACCACCCCTTCTGCGCCCATGTGGGTCCTTGAAGTGCTTGAAGAAACGGCCTCACAAGAGTGTGTAGTACACGTATGTGTTCTAAGACTCTTGATAATAGTTCAACCCTTCAGGCCTGAATCCGAAGAGGTTTCGCATGTTTGGTGTTGATTTTTTAATAAATGTGTTTCTTACACTCCATGTCTATGGGGGAGTTGCATGCGGATTCCTCCAACCCGGCCCCCGAAACCGGCCCGGGACGTCGACCCTCCCGCCGGACGTCGACCAACCCGAGCATCTGGGCCACCACGAAGCCTCTCAACCAACTGCCCGGTTCCAAGTCCTGCAGCTCCTGCGACTGGGCCGAGCACTTGGGGACGGCCGCGGAGCAGCAGGCTGAGCCACAGCGGAGAGGAGAGTCGGTGAGTGTCCGCCGGTGCGCAGGTCGCCACGAGCTGTGGACTGGGCGTATTTGGGGGGGCTAAGATTGACTCGAGGTGGTTTGGGAGGTCCATGTAACATAGACCCTAGGGATCCAAGTACCTTCTCAGCAGGTGATTGGAGACACTGTTATGTAGGTTTGGAGGATCCAAGTGCCTTCTGAGAAGGTACTTGGATCCCTAGGGAGAAGAAATGAGGGTGTCTAATCCCAAGCTTGTGGGGGCACTACCTTTTTTCTATTGGGGTGGGGCATGATGAACACTCACCCACCCTGGTTCTTCAGGACTCGTGACCGAACTTGATCTCCAAGACTTTTGAGGTGTTTGTGGCATGATGCACACTCTGACACTTTTCCGACCCTTTCCCAGGGAAATTTGAATGCAAACGTGGTTCGAACCTACCGACCCTCTGACTCTGACACCAATTCCAAACGGGTGAGTTCTTAGACCCGACCAGCAGTCACAGGTCGCTATCCATGGAGCTCGTCGGGGTGCCCCGTCGTCACATCCACTCGCGCCTAAAGGGGAACTCAACACCACCCAATTCAATGTGACTCCGGAGATGAGCGGATCATGGGCCAGTTCCATGTCAGGCACCCAACTCCAATGGACCTGCTGGCTGCGATCTCTGTAAAGCTTCCCACGATCGGCGTGGCCAAGAGGCTCTATCATATGCATCATTGCTGATGTCGTTGCATTTATTTGATGTCAATGCTCTTCTCACCGGACCCGCCCTCACGTCTGAGGCTGTTGATGACATATCTCCGGTCTTTGTGTATGGATGTGTTACACCTATCAACAAGAACGCGAACCGTTCGACGGGGCGGGGCGGGTATAAGAACCGACTCGCGACGCGACGCGACCTGGCAGAGCCCGGAGCGATCGGACGCGCGGCGGTCGAGACGGTTCCCAGTCTTCTTTGTGTTGGATCTTCTTCGCCCCAAGAACCGTTCTTGTGTTGATCTTCTTCTTGTGTTGGGCTTAGGGTTTAGGGTTTAGGGCTTAGGGTTTAGGGTTTAGGGCTTAGGGTTTAGGGTTCGGGTGGGGCGGATGGGCCCCAGGACGTCCGGGTCTCCATGCGTTCACGGATCCCCATCCGTCCAATGGGTCGTGTGTAGGGCTGGGGGTGCGGGTGCGGAGTCCGTCCTCCCGCAATGGAATGGGTCAATGGTCTGAGACCTTCCCAAAGAACCCTTGTTTTACAGGCTATAGGCTATTAGATAGTTTTTTTTATTGTTTAGGAGTTTACATGGAGTTGACTACAAAACCTGGCCAAATCACGTTCTAACATCTTCTTCAACTGGTCCTTTGGGAAGGCTCTAGGGCCTAGATGGTCTTGAGGCGGCACCCCAAGGCTCCATCCTCCATGAAGCACTCCCGAAGATGGAACTCTGGTTTTGGTATGTGTCTTCTTTGCACATGCTTTCCCCTACCTATCCGACCTATCCGATAGGGATGCTACATGACACACATGACACGCTCCCCAGCTCCCTCCCAGCTCCCCCTCCGGCGCGGCGATGCTCGGCGTCTCCTTCCAGGTGGCTCGGTCAAAGGGGTTGAAGATCTTCGTGGCGTCCGCCGTCAGCACCAAGCTGCTGCGCCGCAGGTTCTCCTGCCGCCGTGCCGTAGGACGGCGCGACGGACGGCGGGTTCCGCGAGGGACGGGCGCGGTGTGAGGGGCGCGGGAGGGGTCCCAAAGATGGATCTGAGATCACGCAAGTGTTCGGAGGAGCAACAGATGAGCAAACCAAAGTCCAGCCATGCAAATAGGACGTGCCACTTTCTAAGTTCTTTTATTAAAGGTGTGTGGGTTGAGATGGTTGGCAAGGAAAACCCGGATGAAAACAAACATCATCAAACATCTTTCTGAAGTCTGAAGAAGGTTTTTTTCCACAGGTCTTGATGGCTGAAGTGACCCTTTTAAGCCCCCACTCCTCGTTCTCCACTTTGCTCACCCAAACCTCCACGAGGTCCCCCAGCGACACCTGCCACTGCTCGCCGCCACGCGCGAGGACGACCCCGCTGTCTCGTCAAAGAAAGTTCTTTTCTTCAGCGGCCACTGTCCACTTCTGTGATCGTTGGAGGGAGGAGAGTTTCGAAGGTGTAAGGCATCTCAAGACCCACCAACGAGTTTCGTACTCGTCATACTCAAGACCCGGCGGGGAATGGTCGAGTTGGGAAGAATATGGAAGTATCTAATTACACTCCCCACTCTGAGTGCTCTGAAGTGGAGAAGGGCCAGGGCCCTCTAACGCGAATCTAAAACACATGCAAAACACAGGCAAACTGGACAGCGGTTCCACGAAAACGACTTTTGTCCTCCTCATCCTCCTCTATAGAGGCTGAACAAGGACTTGATCATCACCCGGCTCTCAACTGAACCATCCTATTGTGTGGCAGCCCATCTGGAATCCCGAAAATTTCAGGTCGCTTAAGGTACTTAAGAACAAGGCATCACAGTGCAGCCATGGATGACGCCTTGGAGAAGAGTTGCGTTACTTGTTGGAAGCTCCAGTTTGCCATGTGTATGTCGTACCGAATGAAGGCCCCACAGACCCAAAGACATCCAAAAGCTATACCAAATCCTGCAAAATGAGCATCATCATGCATCATCATCACATCCCCTTGCTTCCACATGCCACCCCCTCCATTCCCACCCCCCCCTCCATTCACTCAGCTAGCATGGCCACCGCCCACCATGTCCGACCTCGCCACTCCCTGGCGCCAGCTTCGAGAAGGGCAAGACCCCCTCCTTCTCGACGCCCACATCGACCAGCGCCAAGCCGCCCGCCACATGCGACACCACACCTGCGACCGTTTGGTTGGACGGCCCGGCGCGAGGAGCTAGCAGCGAGAAGCTAGTGTGATTCGGATGATTTTGTGGATGGGGAGTATGTATAGTAGATTCGTAGGCATAGAACGTGAAGGAATGGTCCAAAAAAGAGATCTATGGCCACTGGTTCTACCATGCTCTACCTCCTTGACCCCAAGCTCCTATCCCAAGCTCGATCCCACCCAAAGCCGCTTCAGCCCACGGCTTCTGACTCACCTGGGAACGCTCCTTTCACGGTGGGACCCGGTGGGATCAACTCAGAACCGCGGGTGCCGATCAACCCAGGCGCCACCGATGCCGATGCGCCGATGCGGCGCCTGACACCTTTTCACCCACATGGAGCTGGCTCCTGCATGTCCGGGGACCGCCAAGCCCATCATCACATGGCAACTGCAAAAGATGGGCCAAATGATGAGCACTGGAAGAAGGAGACTTCTTCAATTATTTTTTGATGTTTCTGTGTGACTCCACTTGTAAAACCACCCTGAAGCCCGTGCCGTCCCGTGCCCAAACCCTCCTTATCCCTCGGTATCCGCCCAAACCATCCAAACGCTCGAGACGCTTGACGGCACGAAGTCCGCGATTCCGGGAGCAACCTGGCCACCCCTGAGAGTGCAGTCATGACTCATTCTACCCCTGGTAATGGGTGGTTGAATTCGCTACCAGGTCCAGCACCACGGATTCCAGGTGTCCGTTAATAGCTCCCTAGAGGTCATTGGGTGTCCATGAACCACCCCTTGAGAGTCCTGGGTGAAGCAAAACGAATCATGGGAAGCTCTGGCCACCCCAGAACAACGCAACGCTGCCCCTCCCCCCTTTCCGAGAAAAAAAGCCCGGTCATTTGTCGCCGCGGGCTCGTAAAGCACCACTCCTGGCACACCCACCGCTGGTCGGAGGTCGGAGGAGGAATATATCCTAGACACTCCATGTATGCCATATATGTCTACATTGCGGTGGTTCTGGGGGTCAATGTATAGGCATATATGCCATACATGGAGTGTCTGGGTATGAGGATGTGTTTTTCATCTGTTGTTCCGATCGGTGGAGATGTGGCTCTGCTTTTGGGGTCCCTATACAGCAGTGTATTGATATGACGTCTCTCACTAGTGCAGTATTGTGCAGTGCTGGTTCGATTTCAATGATTTCAATCAGCCTCTCGCCCATGTTCTATGCTTCATCAGCTCGCCCCTGTCCTGCGATATCAGCAGCAGTGGGAGAACTAACAACAACCACCCAGCGCAGCCGGCACCGCGGAATCGGCGTGTCATGGCCCTTCGATGCCCTTCGGGGGGTGACCCAGCGATTCCGAAGTTCGTATCTTCTGCCGCCCGCTGTCGGCCGGCCCTTGACCTACATGGAGTCGAGATGTGACTCGCAGGTTCAAAGCTGAGATGTGACTCACAACACCTGAATTCGTACAGTATGTGTCTGTCGACGTCTTAGTTTATGTCGATGAGGTCTTGCAGATGAGATCGCGTCAAAGATCGTGTGAAAGGCAGTGGAAACAGAAGGTCCGTGTTAGAAGCAGTCACTTAATACCACATCCATGAACCAAGCCAATAAACTGCTGTGTCGAGGGAAGTTCGAGCCAACATAGCACCAACATGTACCAACATGGGAGATGAGATGAACGGAACGATATATCACACAGTGGCAACAGCCAGTGCACATCTATCTCGAGGTGAGATAAGGTTGCAAAACCACTGCACCAGCAGCTGCGCAAAGGGAAATATCAGCGGACTTGGTCTCTTTTGCATGTTTTGCCGCTTCGAACGAAGGACGTCTCCACGTTCATTGTCTGACCGCCAAGTGCTGTTTGCACCTGGCACAAGTGAAGCTGGTTGAAGCAACGCGGCGGCCGTGGAGGTCCAGGGATGTGTCAATCCAAGAGAGGTTCAGTGACCTCAAAAAGGGCACGACTGGGGTACCTATGGAATAGTCTCTCTATATATATATATAGACTTCTATTATATAGTTCTTCAAGCTCTGTTGGATTGTCACATCCTTGGGCAGTTGTGTCAACTTGCTCACGGACAGCCGGATGTCACACGGGCCGGCAAACATTAAACATGTTAAACTCCTCTGAGACACCTCAAAGTGGAAACCAACTCCCAAAACAATGGTTCTTTAAATTCAGACCATCTTTTTAAAAGTCAATCCATGGTGGTTGCAATCCTAGGGTTTTGTGGAAACACTACTAAACATACTGTTCTTTTTCGTTCTTTGTTCGCCTCACCCTTTGGAGACGTCCGGAGTCCAGGAAATCCCAACGAGGTCCCAACATTCACTTGACAAGCCTGCCAAAAGCTCAGTACATGGAATAGATGCAGTACACGTACACCTACCAGGACCCTCCTGTCTTGGTGCCCTGTCTGGAAGCCTTTTTTCGGCCGGTCGTGTGAGGGTCGGAGGGTCCTGGTATATGGCTGAGGGTCACTGGGACACCCTGGTGGAACAGAATCGAGCTCAAAAAGGTCAACCGGGCCCCTGGTGAAAGGAGCATTTTGGGGCTCTGGGTGAACCTACCCACAGCCATATGTGCTCTCCCTTCTCACACGTCCCCAGCGTCGCGGTGCCTCACCTGGTCAAAACCGGATCGATTATGGCTATGGCTATTGCTAGTAGCCTGGCTGTTGGATCTTCGCATCCAGGCTTGAGTTCTTCTGCCTTCACCATCATCCCAGCGACTCGCTGATGTCACTTCATCCCACCTTCGCTCTTGCACTAGCCAGCAGTGAGTGCCTTGATCTCACCCTGGCGACAGGGCCACTGAACTGAGGTGCTATGCACCGGTGGTGTGCGTGATCCTCCTTGATAGCAGCACTGAGGGTCGTGCAACCCATGGTTTCACAACCCCTGCTGGAAGAGTCCCAAGTGTATTTCAGTCTATTTCAGTGGGGATGGCTGTGAAAAAAATCGCCAGTCCCTATCAACCGTCCCTTATGCTTTGCATCAGGCCTGTGACACTAATAGCAAAAAATACTTAAATACATTCCTGAAACCTTGAATCACCTCTGTTTCGGACCACCAACCACTCAAAACTCCACCCCAAATATGATCAAACGTCCTATCAAAACAAATGTCAAATGGGTTCCGGGTTCATTGTACATGGAACATTCTTCACACACTCTTGCAAGGCCAAGCCCCTCATGCCACTCCTCGGCAGCCCACTGGTTCCAGCCTGGGATGCCCGCATGGCCGCCTCAGTCAGGCGTGGGGACCAAAGCGCGCACAAGGCAACAGAGGTTGAAGAGCCATGATCAAACCCTGCTAGTACACTCCCGAAAACTAACGTGGACCCTGACTGTCTGGCTCCCTGGAAGATGGTTTTCCTCTACCAACCCCAGTGGTTTTCAGGGTCCATGGGATCGTCTTCCAGGGTGTAAACCCTTTGGTTCGACTATATATGTCTCCCGTTTTTTCCGTGCTCTGGTCTAGCTCGCTCCACTTCACCTGTGCAGTGGTTCTCGTCCCAGATGGGCTCCGGTCTGGTGCGTTCCGCCTGATCAAGTCGATCCCCAAACACCACGAGAAACGACCTGCCGACGTCGACCTGCCGAGCACGAAACGCTGGTGCAGGGGTCTGGGACTGGGGGTGGCAGGAGCCAAACCAGTCACATGAGTCGCATGGTTTCGTCGTATGGCGAGCCCCGTCCGGCGGCCGGTCCGGCGGGAACGGCACACCGGGCGCCCCGGGCGGCGCGGTCGTAGCACCAACTCTCCGGGTTTCGGGGACATTCCGTCGCGATGTGCCCGTCCGAGTGGCCTCGAGGCGTTTGGACCTTCGGAGGGACCTTCGGAGGGGTTGGAAGGAAGGACACATGGAACACCTGGTCCAACAATAAGAGATGAAAGATGGGATTTCACGGAGCTTTTGCACGGAGTTGTGAACATTCGGGGATCTTCATGATCACCGCGGGATTCTTGAAACTGTTGGAGTTGTGGCGGTGGGGGTCGATCACAAGTCGACCGCCTGGGAATGGTCTTTATACTTCACTCTCCCTGCGCCAGATCGTCTGGTCCTTCCGTTGTTTTTTCTTCCCCCCCATCCTCTGTTTTCGGCATCTGGGCAGTTCCGCCTCGGATTCGGAAAATGATCATGATAGGGAAAAAGGATTGAACAATCCTTGAACATTTAGATGATGTATACTATGTTCTATACAGTAAATGTATGAACATGCTGTGCAAACATCCCTTCCCTTCCCTAGTTGCTCCACTAATTGCTCCAGGTGCCTTTTAAAGGCATCGGGTGTGCGCAGCAAACCGAGCGCTTACTTGACAACCCTGGCTCGGGCCTGGAGCAGGCCACAGACTTGAAAAACGATAAAAAAAGAAGGTGAGTAAGTGCTATAGCCCTAGGCGGGATCCAACTACCTTCTCAGGTACGGTGATGTGTTCGACACTGTTATGTATACGTGCCATTGTCGGGTCCAGTCGTACCGAACCTGAGGTTTGGTACGAAAACGGATCCCTAAGGTTGGGTGATAGTGACTTTAGTGGTTGAAAATGGATGAAAATGGCAAGTCACGGTACTTTCTCATACTTCTTCCGATCCAATTAGGTCCTCCCATCCGATCCTCTCATCCTCCAATCCGGTCCGAGCGGCAGAAGAAGCACACTTTCGGCTCCAGTCCCATGGCCACTCGCCCTGAGCAACACATAGCAAGACCCGGCACGACCCCGATCGGCACGGTGGCGAGGTGTTCGGCGGGCGATTTCTGCAGAGACTGCGGCCACTCGACCACTCGGCCTGATTCCTGAAGCATGAGGTCGAAGTGGATGTCCCAAAGAGGCACATGTCATGCATCATTGACACGTTACTGTCTCTGTCTAAGTATGTTTAAACAATATACACTTATTATAAGACTTTTAATGATGTCTGATATACAAATATATAATCATGTATAGATTGTATAGCATGTTTGCATCTCTTCCCTCCAGAAGGCCACCTGTCAATGCTCATCCAGCCAGTGATGTCTTTTTTTCCGCTCGATTGCCCGGCCAGTTGAACCCCTCTCCATGGCACGCCTTCAGGATGTGAGTAGAGACAATCAGCGCGGGCCTCAGCGGTTCACAAACATCTTCTCAAAACGATTCCAAGACCTCAAGATGTCGTTTGATTAATCAAGCCACCCGTTTGGATTGTAAAACCTCTCCAATATGGAGGTTTCAATATGGTACTATTTACTATTTCACATTCTACATGAGATATCTCATGTGAACAGTGAAACCACCTGCGATGACTCATCATCCCTTGCACCTTGCCGCTGAAGGCATGACGGACCATTTTTCTTGCCTTTTGCCCGCCACGGCCGCCCACGGTTCCTCCATGTTCCTCACCAACTCCTGCCCTGTGTGCAGTCCTCTTGCCTCACAGCTCACGGGCGCCGTTCTTTGCTCAAAGCTTCGGCCGCAGCGCCAGCAGCACGGCCGCCACCGCGGCCATCGCCGCCGCACCGGCGACGAAGGCGCCGCGTTGTGCGGAGCGCTGGCGCCGCAAGCGCTGGCGTGCGGGCGCCAGATCAGGGTCGAAGTGACCATCTTGCAGGCGCCGGTGGACGCACGCCATCGCGTGGGTTAAGGCCTGGTTGGCGCCATCCTCATCCAGGAGCTGCCACACCTGCTCGGTAGATGCTGCGAGGGTTCTGTCACGAAGGGAGGGCAGTCTTGGTTGAAAAACCCTTCAATTCTTCAAAACTTACAAACGAGAGTGGCTACAAACTCCAAGTTGACTCCAAATTAAACAAAGACTTGACCTCCCCAGCCTGAGAAAGCCCAGGTGAACATCCTCCTTCCCCATCAAATCCCAACCCTCAAACACCGACCTGGAGGGCGTTCCGAACGGTTCGACCCCTTGGGATGTGGAGGCTCCAACCGATTCCTGAGTGTTTATATACCCAGCTGGGCTCCAGGAGGTTACCTCCTCAGGTTCGGTATGACTGGACCCGAACATGGCACCCACCCCAGTCCCACCTTCTGAGGAAGTACGACTGGAGCCCTAGGGATAAACATCGTTAGACCCTTCCCCCCCACGGGCGCCTTTTCATTCAGGCCCCCTGGCGTCTGCTCCGCCAGCAGCCGCGCCAAGGTCGCCTCCGCCGCGCCGCCGCTGTCTTCGGCCCAGGCGGCGAAGCTGGCGGTGGTCCAGGCCGCGGCGGTGTCGCCGGAGATGCCGTGGGTGGTCAACCACTGCTGCACCGTGAGCTGTTGCTTGTAGAAGTTCCCCATGAGCCCGGACACCTGTTGGAGGGTTAGTTGGTGCGTGCTTTTTTTTTACAATTCGCCAGGGTTTAGAAGAAGAGGCCTGCCTTAAAAAAGACCAAGAGAGGTTTTTCATAGCCCTTTTTCGCCCATCCCATATGTGCCACTACACAGTCCTATATGGTCTCTCAACCCCTCTTGGGAACTTGGTGGGTACAGCACAAACATGGAGATGCATCAACAAGCTAAGACCGATCTGTAAACAGTTTTCTTTGGGCTACGGTACGACAGGGACTGCAATGTATGCCAACATTGACCCCTCTGGCACCACCCCTGGCCTGATCGGCATATATGACACACATGGAGTGTCTTGGATATAGCTTAACACTCACGACGCACTTCACACGTTAGTTCATTCAAGGTCATCTTACATCATGACCGAGCAAAGAAAGCAACGAATTACCAGCCCGAGATGGATCCACCTACCAAACCTGAGAAGGTATGTGGGATACTCTTGATGCAGGCGCATAAAGGAGGCTCCAAGTGCCGAACCTGAGGAGGGTATGTGGATCCCATAGGGCAGTGCATGTCTGGGTGGTTTTCAGTTCACATGTCCAGTGAATGGATGTGGCAGGGGGCACCAACCCCGCGGAAACCCTGCAGAACGCGGCGGCCCACTCGGAACTGCGCGTCATGTGACTTAGTATATACCGCCCTGGTTGTTTTTCCTCTCTCCCTTCCGGTGAATCCTTTCAGACAGCATCCAAGACCGTTGAAGTGAGCCAAGACACGCCCATCAGCTGTCGGAAGTTCCCCTCATCCTCCACCGTCACACATCGTCCCAGCGTCTGGAAAATGGCCAAGGCAGCCTTGCCGGGCTGCAAGAGCAACGCGGCACCATGGCGGTGAGCAATGGCTGGGTACCTCAGAGCGCGTGGGTGTGCTTGTTCAAATGACATTGGACACCTCCCAATGGAACATCTCTGATTCAGAAGCATGAAAAAGGAACACGCATGGTGGTCTAGGGGTCTCAAACGGTCTCCGATGTCTCCATTCACATTTATACTTCAAACCCATGCATGAGAGTCATGGCGGTAGTTTCAACCTCGTTCTCCATGCCATCTCCATTGGTCTCCTGGCTTGAGCTTTTCCAAGACAGGACACCAAGAGTCGAATCAAGGTACAGTGCCCTCCTTCCTCGATTTTGCTACACCTTTTCCTCAAAACAATTGGCCCCAAACAACGCGGAGATTGCATCATGGGCATCATCTTGAGGGCAGGAAGCCACATCTTCAGCAGGTTTCTCAGCACGGTGTTTCTTGCAACCGACTAACTCCAAGCGACCCTGCCGCCAAACAAACAAAATGAAGCAAGTACTACCCAACACCACCCAAAGGGTTGTTTTTGGAAGGGAAAAACATCTTCAGGGGAGTCTGTAAACCACGCTTTGCTTGTTGCTGGACTATAGTATATAACTATAGTAGCTACTAGCTCAATGAGACTTTCGTGTGACATGCTCAACAATATCGTGAACTCCTGGATCATCCACCCCAATTTCACCTCCCCCCACATCCGCCCAACAACCCAACACACCCCAGGCCAAACGCTGGCCGCTTGGCGGCCCGCTTCCTCACCGCCCAGGTGCGGAATCGCCACCGAGACTGTAGCCTGGCAATGCTGCCGCAGCTGGGACAACGAAATCCCGGCCATCATGGAGATGACCTCCGGTGCCGGTCGCGGTGCGGTCGGAGTCTCGCGGTGTCGCCGCGGCGAAAAGGAAGCAGGCAGAGCGTGAGGTGCAGCAGCTAGGTGAGGTGCGAGGTAGGTACTAGAGAGGCACGGCGACGACCCATTCCCAAGGGATGGCGCGCGTGTTTGCTGCCTCTAGAGCCATGGCGGGCCTCTGGGAGTTCCAACATTCCAAGCACAAACTTTAGAGGCTGAATCCCAAAGAATCTGGCTGGCTCATGATTTTTACACGATGATCTTGGAAGGCTAGCTAGCAAGGGGTTGGGGGAACCCCCTGTAGCTGCTTGGCTCCTTGTTGAACGGGGATATGGATACCCCCGTCTCCACCTCCACATTGCCCCTGCCAACCAAAATGACTCAATGACCAACGGAGCTAAGTATCGAGCTAACGATGCTCCCGATGCTTCCGTCAGCCTTCCAAAACTGCGACCGCATCAAAACAAGCCCAGAACATTCCCAAATGCCTGGAATACCTCCATTGGAGCCTTGGAAGTCGAAGGGTAGATGGTTCCCTGCAACTTGTAAGGCTTCCATTCATGTGGAGTGGTTTCCATACAGGCACTCTAGCAGTTCCAAAGGAAAGCCGAACTTGGAGGATAGGGATGCCCAGAACATCCACGCATGTTCAGCTCCGAAAGCCACCCAACTTCATGTGACACCATTTACTACATGGAGCGTTGGGTCTTCCAACCAGGTCTTCTTCCCTTCCACTCAGTGGGCGGGCCGCCAGGCGAAACCCACGCCACGCGACGAGGGTCGGGGGCCTCTTGCCCTTTGCGGAACTCCAGCTCGGAGAGGACGGCCAACGCCTGCTTCGGGAGCACCGACAGCAAGATCCAGTCACTGCACTGCACGACCTCTTGGTTGCCTCAAAAAAGCAGCGCGGGAGGAGCCGGTAGCAAAGAAGCCTCTACCCTAGACTTCCAAGACATTTGTTTATGTTGACCTGGTTTTTGCATGTCTTTGTAGTGTAAAATATTGTATAATCCTTAGTTGAGTCGGTAAAGCCTATTAAATTAATGGTGGTTGGAAGCCTATAGGGTCTAGAGTCGCAGGGCACGCGCACTGCGGCGTGCCGAAGTAGTTGCGGATCGGCATCTGTGAATCGGGATCCGGCAAGTGTTGGGTCCGTACACCTAGGACTGTACTCGGCTGCATGTGTGGTTTAATGATTCGGTGGTCTTGAAATATCCTTAAATCTTGGATGATCTTGGATGTATCCCATTCCCTGTAACAGTGGATGATGATGGTTAGTAAAGCCCTTTCTCAAACATAGTGATAATATTTTATTGACTGTTACAGTACAGGTCGTGGAACACACACCACTTAAATCTGTATAGAGATGGGATCGAACACTTGTCAGTCGTGTTCAATTGTGTGCGGAATAGGATGGCACAAACCTCTGTCCCAAATGGGGGTCGGGTCCATCCATCTGTTCACCACCGACCCACAGGGGGTTCGTGCGTCCGTTCAGACCCCAAAACCGCCATGGTCTCCAGACACGACCTGTCGACTGCCAGGACGGACTGCCGAGTGGTGCGGCTAGGGGTGGTGTGCCAGGGGGTCAATTGATCGGCATTATATGGCAGTCCCATGGAGTGTCTGGGCATGTTTAACATCCACCCCTCCTTTCGCCGCTCCCCCTCCAGCCCCCCATCCCCGGCCATCCCCGGCCTCCAACCGCCCACAAAAATCCCCCAAGAAACCACGGTACCAAGTCACTTTCGGCCACGCGCACCAAGGCTGGAAAGCTCTCCTGGAGCTCCTGTGCCTTCAAGGCATTGCGTGGTGAGAGGACGATTTGCCGTAGGCCCAGGTCTTTGGGCAGTTCCGGGTTGCACAAGCCTCGGTGAAACGGACGGAACCGGCATGAACCGCGGGCTCTCAGCTGATCACGGCGACTGGTAACCGCGGTGAGACTGTTTCTCGTTAGGAGCGAGAAACACGAAGTACGAAGTCAGCACCACAACAAGGGCAATCCAATCATATACTCCCTACCTTCTGAGAAGGTGTTTGGGGTGGGTTTGCAGGGTCCAAACACCTTCTCAGAAGGTACTTAGAACCCTGGTACCTATATGGCCATTAGAGGCATGCCTTGCGAACGCACAAACACCAACAGCGCCTGCTTCAGAAAAAACGATGGGATCCTTAAAGCTTCTCACCAGCACAAGCTACAACGCATGCTTCAGTGGCTGCACAGAATCACTGCGATCTTGTTTGGGAGGTCTCTCTGCCTGGGAGCCCCTCATCATCACAAACATGCACAATGAAGCAAAGTGGCCTATGGTTCGGAGGAAACTGCTCGAAGTCAAAGGTCAATGTGACACTGACCATAAACCCAAAGAATCCATGACTTGGGGCGGTTTTTGAGATGCTTTAAGGGTCAGGTACATCTTCCAATTCCACATACAGTATATGGATTGTTGGGGCACTGAAGCATCACCTAGATAACATGCCTAGACATCCCAAGAGTTGTGTGTTGGACCGCTAAACCGGGCTAAACCGGGCACGCTGTGACACATCTGTATTCACCACGGTCTTGAAAGAATCACCTGTACATCATCTTCACCATCTTTACATCTCTGGAAACTCACTAACAGACCCTGAGTCCAACTGTTCTCCTCATTTGTCCTCTTAATTACAAAGCCAGCGGTTGTCTGGGTCCATGTTAGTCTTCACCATTCTTTATATCCCATTACCGACTGCTACAGGTCATGGGACAAACTCAGCCCAGACCGTCTTGCGCCCAAGAAAGAACTAAAATTAAAACACCACCCCCTTCTACAGCAAAACATGGACCTTCTACAGTTGCGTTGGGGTGACCAACAGAAGCTGCGGGCAAACGTTTTTGATGAAACATGTGTTTCATGTCTTCTCCCCCCCACCTTTGATGGCTGCTGAGGCGATGGTGCCCACTCCAATAACGCCCAACACGCAGCTCGGCATGGCGCAGATGGCGCCGGCGCCAGTCTCTGCGGCCCGTTCGGCAGGGTCGTGAGGTGGACAAAACACCCGGCGAAAAGACCATATGCCAAGAGATCTTCCAAGCACCACTAGGTCACTAGGTCTGGGGATTGGCTCATGGAGGCACCAAACCTATATAAGTAATGTGAGTCACACCTACCAAAGAAAAAGAACTCTCCAGCCGAAATAGCAATCTTCTGGCAGGTCGGAAGCTGTTTGAGCCGTTGGCGTCAGCTATGCCCTCCGGGAAAAATGGACGCCGTGGCGGTGCGGCACAGGGCGGCGAGAGAAGAACTGACAACAGTAGCCTGGCTGGTCTTAGTCGCATAACGTAGTATATCCAAAATAGATCAAGATAGCCATAATATTGATACATAAGCATGAAATAGCATGAAATAAGAGATGAGAGGATACTACAAAGGAGCTGATTCATTGGGAAATGCTTGCATTCCAAGAGCAGAAACTCCATCCAAAGCAAACGATGCAAACCTCGTTGCCATCTCCCCACCTTTTCGGGCGTCGGGCGACTCCAGCGACTCCGTCATGGCACTTCGATCTGCGTCTCCTCTTCCGGCGAGTCACCGGCTCCTCTTCAGGTTCCAGCTCATCTGGTTCAAGGTCTTCCAACTCTTGCACTGGCAAAGCCAAACGTATCTCCCAGCGGCTGGTGCGAGCATCGCCTGCCAGCGGCTCGATGCTGTGCGAGGTCTGCGGATCTCTCAGCACCACGCGGAGGACATTGTTGGCCAGTGGCAAGCGCAGCAACACCTGGCTACGTGGCTTCAACTCCTTATCAGCTAATCACTACCTAGTCAGCGGGATCAAAAATTCCCAAGTTGCAACAAAGATCTGAAACTACCACCCAGACACCTCTGGAGCACAGGGCACTCCTTTGGCTCCGGCCAAGACTCCAGCAGCTTCCGCCGTCCTCTCTCCCGCATCCTGCTCGGCATACCTTGGATTTGCTGTCTGGGAAGCCGACCAATAAATAACCATCTTCCCCAGATTGGGGGATGTACCATAATACAAATGCCTGGATATATACCAATGGGACAGATCAAACACCTGATGCGCTTCTTCCAGGATACACATCCGCCCCACCCAAATGTCGAAGCTGCCGCGCGCTTCGCCTGCGGCTGCGCCCGCGCCCGGCCGTGAGGGTCTCGAGGGTCAACGTCACGTCCAGCTGCGCGGCGTCCGCGCAGGTGGGCCGCTCGTAGTCGCCGGGCCGGAAGCGACGGATCCACACGGAGCCGTCCGCGGTGCGGGTGAGGCCGGTGAGACGCTCCAGATAGGCCAAGAAGACCGGTGAGGAGAAGGTTTGGGCCACCAGCGCAAGGGCTTGCCCTGCAGAGTGCTGCTTTGATATGGAAGTGCTTCTGTCAGGCTTCGGCTTCTTGTTCTTCTTGCATTTCTTGATGACAGGTTTGTTGGTCTTCTGGCTGAAGCTGCAGCAACGTCTTTCAAGTGCAGGACCAAGGACCTGCCATCCTGCACCAGGCTCCCATCCATTCAAGTCGCAGCTTTGGAGCGCCGAGCCTATTCTTTGAACTGCCTCGTCGCACAGAAAGTGGGCCAAGCGTAGCTTGCTTTCCTCTTCAAACTTCTGGCGCAGTGACTCCACCTGAGCTTCTTGGAGGTAATCAGCTGACATCACACTCTCCAAGGCTTTCAGAGAGTCCAAAGCCTCCGGACCCCTCAACTCACACCTCGCAAAGGCCAGCAGCTCCGGGCTCCAGCTCCGCCTGGCTCCAGCTCCGGCCGCTCGTGTAGCGCCCCCGCGGAACACGCCGTGGAGCGCCAGCTGCGGCGCTGCATCGGAGACCACGCGCGTGATGCCCACCGCTGCGGCTCGATAGAGATAGAGCCGACTCGCCTGGGGCACCAGCCGCGTCTCGGCCGTCCCCGCAAGTGCCGCGGAGGCCGAAGTGACCGCCCCGGGGTGGGTGAAGAGCTCGAGGAGGCCTCCATCAGCCTGGGTCCACCAGCTCTCCGTGAGAAACAAGGTAAAGCTCACGTCCTCTGAGGTGGAACGGCTCAGTCCTCCGAAGCAGTGTGGCAACACATGACCTCCAGGTGGAACGGCCACCAAGGCACAGCACGGGCGACCACTCAAGGGCGAGCTCACAATCTCTTGGACGATGCGGCGCCATTCATCTCCTTCAAAGGTTTGGCGTAAGACCTCCAGTGCAGGGCAGGTGTCCTTGGAAACCTGGTCTGAGAGTTCACTGAAAGGTAAAACCAGTGCTACGGTGTGTTGGGTTTCAATTGGCTGAAGCCCTTTGAGCTCACCCACCAGCTCATCTCGCAACTCCTCCAATTTCTGGCCTTCAAAGGCCTCCACTGAAATGATGCTGCTACCTTCTGACCACATAGATTTCAGACACTTCAAATCTTGCTGCCCAATCGAAGCCTTCAGTGCCATCTCACTCCCCATGGGTGCAGGTTTCTGCGCCAAAAGTGGCGAGCCAACTGGCCTTACATCCAACAATGTTGGGGAACAAGCTAACTTGTTCACTTCTTCCGCAAGCATCATCATCTCGCGAAGCCTTTGCCCTGCATCTGGCCGCCCACTGGGCAGGCTCGCGCTGGAAAAGACCTCGGTGCGTTGGCAATTCATGCAAAGGCAAAATCTGTCTTTCAGTGCAATTTTTCCGAACTTGCCCCCCAAGAAGCACATTTCCCTGCGTTGCACCGCAATGGCTTTTGGCAACCGCGGTTTTAACTAAAGAGTTGAGTCGTTCTGTCATTCAAGCAAGGCCTGTAAGCAGATCACAGCAAGAAATGATTGCAAAATAGTCAAATGGAGGATAATGGAGGTAAATCCAACTGATGCAAGGACAAGGATAGTGCAAACCTACTCATACCAATGACTACTCATGACACTTGTCATCATTGCTAAATGTCCAATCAATGGCAAGACCGATGCGACAAAAATTCTTGCAACATGTTGCAACATCTTCCCGCTGACATGCCCGCCCTGCACTCAGGCACAGGCGATGTAGCTCGAGAAGCTGTGGGCCTTCTGTCCAGCTGAGCGCGGCTGAACCACATCCTCACGGGAGTCGCGGAAATGCTCGCCGAGATGCTGGCGCAAAGTCTCCTGGAGACGGCTTCTGCATCGAAATGAGTTCATTCAAAATCCATTTGGGGTGCTTTTCTTGGGCTTCCCCCCAAAAAAACGCCGTAAACGGATGCATTCCTCACGACATCGCACGACAAACCATGGAATCAATCATAAAGAATCGGATCGAAGAAGGTCCGGATGTTCGTTCGTACCGTGCGTTCCGAGTCTCGGCCGTGGTTCGGCTTGCGGTGAAGGCCACCAAGGCTTCCTCCTCATGAGCACCTACATGGATGGAACTACAGGAGCTCAGTGTCGTCACCGTGTCCAGCCGGTTCAGCGCCAACACCAGGCTTCCGACCCCCACGTCCACGTCGACTCCACAGGCTGCGACGTACTGTTCCAGGACATCGGAGGCCAAGCCACAATCATGCGCAGCTGGCGGAGCAGCAGTAGCTGCTTGAGCTGCTTGAGCTTGAGATGTGCGAGAAAGTTCTAGCTCGTTCAGAGACTGCAAGGCTTGCTTCTCAATCCGTTGTGCCAAACGAAAGCGCTTCTTGTAGGCCTTTAAGGATCCACTAGGCTTTGGATGTTGATACACTTCATTCCAGCTCTGCGAAGAGCCATCAGCAGAAGCTAAAGCTGCTTCTAACTGCTCCATGGCTTCATGAAGCTGCACACATAAACGAAAGCTGAGAGAAAAGAAGAAGGCATTGGGATTGAATTTAATGAATTGATGTTGAATTGTAGCATCTTTGGGACTTGTGCAGTGCTTGCAGGTGAGATCGTCAACAAATGGTTTAAACAAGTTTAAACTGTTCCATCTTGGTACTGGATGCTTCAACACACAAAACTCTGCAGTGTAGCTCAAGACAAAAATAGATGGTCCTGAGATGTCCTGGGTGAAACAAAACAGAACGACAAAACATAGTACCCAAGCGCTCCATGTACGCCATATATACCTACACTGGGGTGGTTTGGGGGGTAATGTAGGCATATAGTCCATACATGGAGCGTATGGGGTAAGTAATGATGGCTTTGGAACTTGTGATTCTCTTTCACCAGCCAGGTCTCCTTCTACCTGGCGAAATCAGCTGCATCTTTCTGCCCGACCCTCATCTGCTGCGGCTCCCATCACCACCACCCGACCCTCGTTCTGCGGCTCCCGGCGCACTGCACGCCGAACTTGCATTGTCCCTTGGTGGGATCCTGCGGGGAGAAGAAGCACTAGCACCAAGGCAGCGCCGCATGGAGGGTCGTCCCTCTGCACGTTCGGTCGTGCAAAAGAAACATGGTATTGATTTAGATGCCACAAATGGAGATAGATTCACGTACATTGCAATGATCTAGATCTAGATTCCGTGTCCATGGGTGTAGTTAGGGACCGTTCGTATTTGGTCCTCCTTCTTGCCCTACAGCAACTGTGGGATGCGGATACTGATGCGGATCTATGTCGGCCAGAACCCACTGATTAGGGACTCCGGGGGTGAGTCTGTGAGAGTGTGACTACATAGGCCCCGTTTCTGGCATCTGTTGAGGTGCAGCAGGCATTAAAAGCATGTGGCAGACAGTGATCAGTGCATTCTTGCACCTCTGTGCACCATGTCTCAAACACCCCATATCACAATAGCTCATTTATGTCAGGGAATGGTCGATGTCAGGGAATCGCCAGAGATACGGCAACACATGGACCCATGTCTCGACCATCAATGACGACTGGTATTGTAACTGTAGGTGTAAAACTGTTTGGTTTAGTACTAGTATGTAAAACTATGTTTCTTAGACGTTCTCAGATGTTCTTTGTGTGTGGATATTGGCATCAGATATTGGCTATATCACGCTATACTACACGAAACATATGCATACTGTGCTATCATCGCTCCACTGCTGTTGACATTCTTTAAGACAATCCCATAGGGTCCAGGTACCTCCTCAGGATGGTCTTGGAGGTGAAAGTACTTCCAGAGAATGGTCTTGGGGGGTCAAAGGACATCCTCAGGATGGTCCTGGACCCTTAGGGAATTGAATCAATTGTGATTCGAATCCTCGAATCCCATCCATCTGAGTGCAGCACATCATCAATGAGACGGCCATCTGGATGGTCGTAGAAGCAGCCTTGCCTCACGATTTACGAATGCCGGGTGGTCGTGGTCTTCTGACGAGTCATATCATGTGTGACTTTAAGGGAGAACGTATAGGAAAGGAAAGGAATCTGAAGGGAACCCAAGGGGCAAGGTATGTGCGCAGAGTCCATTCATGTCAATTTGTTTCCAAATAAGACACCAAGACGTCATAAGATATCATAAGTCATTTCTGCAACCCTGAAAGGGAAAATGCTTCACCCGGGCTTCAGAGTCATACTGCATCCGTTCGTTCCCAAAAAAGACAGAACAGCACCGGGCTGCCCCAAACGGCTCACACCGCCGAAGACAGACGGAACCAGCCGCCTCTTGCAGCGCCGGCCGAAGGCACAGGGGTTGAGCTCCGAGTCGATTTCCCGACCTAAACCAATGGGGTTCCACATCTGGAAGATTGCCGGTGACTCAAAATGACTCGACGTGACTCCAGAACAAGCACCGGGTGTGCATGATGGACAACCCCCTTAGAGGTCAAGGGGTGTCCATGAACTACCCCGACTGGGAGTCCAGGAAACCAACAACGTCTTATTATGATTTATCATGCAAAATATCTAGCCCAAATGTGGGGTTCTGCATCTGGAAGATTGCAGGTGACTCAACATGACATGAGTCAAGAACCATAACAAAGTTTATCTAGCCCAGATGTGGGTAGGGTAGAGCTCGTGGAGGCCCTTGGGGGCGGCGGGGGCCAGTGGAGTGGAGGTGGAAGGCAGACCGCGCATACGTTGTGTTCCATGGAGGGGTCTCAGGAACGGATTGCAAAAATGGCCACCGCGCTCCTGAAGTAAGGAAAGCAAATGCTTCACTCTTCCCCGCGAAAGCTGGACCTCTTCTTTCCCATCTGACCTCAAACCCCAAACTCCCCCATCCAGCGGTTCAGCCACGTCTTCGAATAGCTCTTTTTTGTGCCTTCACTTGCCATTTGGGCATGAAGTGATTTTGCACCTCTCTGCACAAATTGAGGGGATGATCCAGAATGGTTTGCATTTTGCTGAACATTCTGTCCAATCTTCGCACAAACCCGGTTGAGGCGCATCGTCGACGTCGGCATCGTCTGGTCAACCCGTCAGCAATCACAGTCCATTCGGGAGGGATCACCCCCGCTATCAGCTAGCGAACCCTCTTGCAAGCTGCGCTTTGGCCTTGCCAAAATGAGTTCACAAAGCCAGTGCTACACTTGTGCCAAAAGCTTCCACGCCTTCATGTCGGTTTACTATCACCATCTATCACCTCTCAGGATTCTACTTCGGGTCTTTGATTGGGTGTGTGTGTGACAATCCGTTCGCCCACCGGCACTCACTTCAGCGGCGGGCCGATGGGCCCCGAAACCCCCAGCTGCGCCCGTCGGGCGCTCAGCTGACGCCGAGGGTGGCCTCCATGCACGGGCTCTTCCGCAAGGTGGGCAGCTTGCTGCCCTGGCGCATCTCCGCCGCGGCCGCGCGGCTCTCGCAGGGGGCGGGTTGGGAAGGCGTGAAAAGAGAAGGAAGAGGAAAGAGGCACGAATTAAAGGCACTAATTGGAGCCGCTAGAAGCTGCTGATAAGATCTTGATCTGAAGAATGGTAAAGGAGAAAAAGTCCGTCCTTTTGGCATGAACTGTAACAATGCCGAAGGTCTCAAATCAGGTGGTTCAAAATGTGGACATGCTTGACACCATTTAACACCCCTTAATTCAGGTATACAGTATAGTTCTTATCGCACACGACCACATTGCTTTTTGGACCTCTTTTTACCTTTTTGTCCGTTGAAAGCGATCAAAGTGGCCAGCCCACGACTGGCTTGGGCTCATGAACCCGAACCTGCTACATGCTACTTTGGTCCCAAAAACCCTGGGCTGTGAGGCTATTCTAACCCTCCCTTCGCCACTGACCTCTTCAGGGTCCCTTTGTCGGAGGTGCCAATCCCCCCTCTCGCCGCGCGTTCGACCCGCGTGCGCCGGTCGAAAGGGCGGGCCTTGCCATAGGCTGCGCTCAGTGCCACGGAGAGTGGGTAGCCATACTTGTCGGGCGCCGGCACCTGGGAGGAGCTTGAACACGGACGATCTTGGCAGGACGAAGGACGGCGTCCGTTCACTCAGACCGCGCCCGTTCTCCACGTCAAAGTGGGCCACACACCGGAGCCCAGCACCCAGACACCATGGGACTGCCAGGACGGACTGCCTTCAAAACGGCCAGGGGTAGATTGATCGGAGTTTGATGGAGTGTCTGGGGCAGGGTGGCTGAGACGCGTCATGTTAGCGGTGCTCTGAGACCGCTCCAACCGTGCAAAGCATTCGAGGTCCAAGGCGACCGTCTGGCCGGCCCTGAGAGCCCCACCAAGTCCCAAATGGTATAGACCTCGGCGGCGATGATCCGTGGCAACACGTAGACCAATTGCATGTACTATGGAATCGTCACACTTACACTGGGATGCATTGGGGTCACGAAACGGGGGGTAAATGTAGTATATAATATACTGTATATTCCATATATTGATATTGGGTCTATCGGTTTATCCCATTAAAGCAGATGATGATGGTTCAGTTGCAGGCCATGTTCAAACATCGTGATGTTTTTGTTAGCTGACTGTTACAGGCAAGTTCGGACAGATCCAAGATATATGATATACCTCAGGTCATACAGAAATCCATACATGGTATGGTTTGGGCTCAGGAGGGCCCCCCAAGCGAACGCCCCGAACGCTGCGTCCGGCCTGGCCACTGTAGTTCATGTCGAGCAGTGGGCAATCACCTGCGGCGCTGGCCGCGCTGCCGGGTGCAACGGTTCACGTGCTGTCCTGGGCAAATCGTATGAAATCTGACGCTCCCCCTGGAACTAACATGGAAGTGCCCAAGCCCCCTGTTTGTAGAGGAAAAAGGCCTTCAAAAGGGGGCCGTTCTCTACCTTCCATGTTGGCTCCAGGCAGTGTAGAGGGGTCCGTTTGGTGGCATAGATTCATTGGGGGATATACAATGGGTGTCCCTCTCATGGGAGTGTCACACGCGGCGCTTCATGATTGCCAACACTCCCCGTTCGCCCCGTGCGCCGTCTATGCGCCGTCTATCCTGACGTCAGCGGTTCCGGCGAGCGACGGTTCCGCCGTGACCCTGCCGTGTTACATGGTGCTACTGTGACCACTTAGATGGGAGACTGTGCAGTGAGATACAGTGCATGGTGGTGATGCTTGGAGGCTCATGACAACGGTCACCAAGGCACCAACAGCCACGTGCCCTTGTTGGTGGTGTCCGGTGGGGGTTCTCAGATGCTGTCCGGGCGAAGCCAACATCCCAGGGTCATCCAGTGGGTTTTCAATGGGACTACCCTACCCTAGGCCTTCAGACAGGGCACCCAGACAGGTATATACAAACAATTTGAACACATATCCACTGGCTCCTGCAATCTCGCCCCCCCCCAAAAAAAGAGACATGACAAACTAACCTGATCCTGCCAACCGGGAAACCAGGAAAAAAAAGAACAACCAATTGAGATCTCACCAATTCCATGCAAGTCTCAATCCCATTTCATGTCTGGAGACATGAGACTATAGACCATGCCCTCCGGACTCCACCCCTTCTTCAGACTCGCCCTAACTTCTTCTCCTCCTCCTTCCGCCCCGACTCGCCGCCACCGCGTCTCGGCCCGCCGCCGGCGCTGCACCGGACCCGCGCGCGAACCCGCGCGCTGCACCGTAGCCGACGGAGCCCCCACGCACGCACGGAGCCCAACACGGAGCCCGCGCCATAGCCGAACATCCCGAACTTCTTCTCGCTGCCGCCCTTATCGTAGCGGACCGAGAACCTGGGGAGACAGGCAGCAGGTGGACCAGGTGGTCGCTCTGCGGACCGGAGGAGAGGACCGGAGGAGAGGTTGAGCTTGCCCTTGGTGGTGGCCGCTTTTTCGCCAAGCCCATATGTACCACAGTGTTGGGTCTTAGTTCAGGTCTCTCAACCTCTCAACTGGACTGGCCAGTAGGTACCAGCACCCAACTCTACAGGTCTCTTCTGGTGGCTGACATGGAGACGTATACAAGTGTCAGGTGGTGACCTGTTGGAGGGTGCTGGTACAGTATAATCGTGTTTGGGGGCCATAGCATCTTAGCATGCCAGCATGTCATATAAATTCATATAAGCCGTAGTATAAGCCATATTATGATCTGCCACAAGGCTAAATCATTTGCCACTATCCTCCTAACCAAGTTCTTGGTGACTTGAATCAAGGACAGATGGGAGAGGCGGAAGTGCATGGCCCCTTGGAAGACGATCTTCCTCTACAACTAGGTCAACGGCCCGGTGCTCTCCACTTCCGTCGGAGGCGCCGTTCTCAACGCATTCTCCCAGTGACGAGGGAGACAAGGCGTTCGGCCACGTCTAAGGTCGCTGCTCAAAAAAGTTGTAGCCCAGGAAGAAGGGATACGTTGGCGACAGCGCATCGCCAACCAAAATGGGTAAGTCATCCTGGCGGCGGAAGAACAAGTCAAACATGTTAAGGCCATCCCAAAATGATTGACATCTGGCAGCATGCATAAGCTTAGTCATAAATCACCCATCAACATGTTCATGTTCTCCATCTTGCATGTTCGGGGTTGTTCAACCGTCTGTGATTCATAGCGCCTCAAGGCTCAAGGTAACCGTGAACTACCCCAATCAATCAAAACATCAAGACACTTCCAAGAGAGGTTGAACAGCCCTATAGCCCGTCCTATATGTACCACTACAGGGTCCTAGTTCTGGTCTCTCAACCCCTCTTGGTGTACGATATTTTACGATCGCTGCTTTTTTTCCGCCCACGACCCACCTTCGCGCCCACGTGCACACTGTGGTACTCGCCAATGAACAGAGGGATCTTCATCTTCTCTGACCAAAAAATGCTCTTCTTGTACCTGCGACATGGCTGTGTGTAAAAAAACACTGAAAAGGAACAGAATAGACTACTACTAAGGAGGTCAACCTCCCATGGTTTCGTGAGTGTGACCCACAGCCGGTGGCAGCTGGTTTCTGGCGCCAAGCTGCTTGTCGAGGAAGAGCTCCTGCCAGAGACACACCAGAGCACACCAAAACCGGAGTTTCACCGAGGTCGGCTTCTCCCATTCCAAACCTACCAAGAGAGGTTTTTCAGCCCTTTTTCGCCCATCCCATATGTACCACATTGTCGGGTCTTAGTTCTGGTCTCTCAACCCCTATGTCAAGAGGGAAAAGCATATGACCTCCCCACCTTCCTGGCACCTTCCTGGCACCTTCCTGGCACCACTTCCTGCCGTCCCACCGTTCCTCGACCACATGCCCCGGGGCGGCCGTGTTGAAGCTGTGTACCCAGCGCTGGTGGAAGGCCGTCAAGACATCGTTCTTCCTCCGGTCGGTCCGGCACGGACGACACATCGACACGGACGACTGGACGACACGGACGATGAACGACGCGGTGTTCAAAGCACGGTGCGGTGATCCGCCCGATGCTCAGTAGATGGCCGGTGATGCTGGTGGATGTCTTTCGGTTGGAAGGTCTGAGCACCTTGCAGCCTATACCAACATACTCCTATATGGCCTCTATACACTTTTACGAGACCGTACAAGTCCAAAGGCACAGTAAAACCTGGTCCTTTCTCCTTGAGTAGTGTTTTTTTGTATATGACTAATTCCAGTAAAATCAGGGTCTTTGACCTGTAGGGGGGCAGTACATGCAGGCATGAGGGCTTGCAGGATGGTTGTGTTCTTCAGCGGGTGCATCTGTCTAGCTCAAGCATGGCGAGTCGCGGCTTGTAGTTGGTCGGAGGTGCTTCTGGATGTTCCAGGCAGTGGTAGAGCTCCTGCATTTGTCCAAGCCTTACTTGCATGCACGGGCCACGGGTCTTGCATCAAGGATGTGAATGAACATAGAATGAAGTGTATGAGTCGTCGACCGGAGACACTGACTCCTCTATACTTGTCCGTTGACTCATCTTGCAATGATGCGACAACATGCGACAACTGTCACTGCATCAGCAACTTTGAGAGCTTAGCCAAGTGTCCCTGGAGGGTTCTTCCCAAAGGCTGCAAAAGAGAAGGTCACGGTGAAAGCAATGGGATTCCTTAGCTCATCGTCTGGCTTGAAATCCCAAAGCCACCCCCCACAAAAACCAAGCAATTCCTATATATATAGTCATAGTCAGTCACTTTAGTATCCTGTCCTGACAAGGCTGAAACTCATGATGATCTGGCTGAAACCGGGACCTCTTCTTCCGGGGGACCTATCCCCTACCCATGTGTCATCCACCCAGCATGCCCCACAGGCCCGATGTTGCAAAGGAAGCCTCTCCGTAACATTCAGGTCCTGGCACGGGTCCACATGGGGTCACCATGCATCAGTGGTGTTTTTTTCCAAGCCGAGTGACAACAACGAAGGTCCGGAAAACACATGTGGATACAAGTGGTGACCCCGGAAGCAGCTCTTCCGTTTTCAACTGCTGCTTTGGCACAAGAGCTGCTGGTCCACGGAAGGATATGTTTTTCTCTTCAACTGTGAGGCAGCTTGCAGGAATAAAAATGCATCCATAAAAGAACTTCTCAGTATCCAGAAACAGAACCACCTCTTCTATTCTATGACCCTTCGAGGAACACCGAACACAAGTCCACCGCTTCGAGAATACGCATATTCTTCGTGCTGGGCGCTTTCGCCCGGCTTGGGCCCGGTCCGTCCTTCTCCGCCTGCAAAATCGCATCCAGGCTGCTAATCATCGCACGACACACCTCGCGAAGCGGACCGGTCGGTGTCTGCGGGTGACTTGAGGCTTCAAGTGCTCGGCATGGCGCTGGCTCAAGGCGAACGAGTATCATATATGATGATATCAAATATAAGACAACCCCCAGGTATCTGGCAAACATGGCTAAAGCCTGCCAGTTCCAGGGTTGTGCTTCTTGAGCGGCCACGCCCAGCTGTTTCACATTGTGACAACTGCATACCAAGCGTCAGAGGTCCTCGGGTGGACCTGCACATGGCCATGCGTCAGAAGGTCACATGAGAAGCTGTTGCAGCCGGACAAGGTCATGGTAGATTACTCTGTGGCACCGTGGGTCTCCGATCTCGGATTCTCAGAGATCAACCAACTCCGACCGAATGGCCCAAAAAGAGGCGCGGCGGCGCCGCGCGCAGCTCTTGAGAGCTTCCTCTCGCACAGCTCCCTCTCACAGTTCGGTGCTTGGAGAGGTCCCCGCATGCTCGGCACCGGACGACGCTTGGAAGTTCCCGCGCCTTCAGGTCGGGCTCGTTGCTAATGATCAACGCTTTGAGAGCAGGGTGGTACATGGTGTAGTTCCTCACCGTTCGCCCGTTCCGCGCGGAACGCGCTCTTCCGCAACGGTGCGGAAGCTGCGGCTACGGTGGCTCATCTAGCTATCGCTACCCCCCCCACATATGAAGGGGGCCGGAGGTCCAACGAGGGGCATGTCCCTGCTCGAGAGTCTGCAGTACATCGAGGCTCTGAAGGTATGGATCGAACCTGCGATCGACCAGATCCGGCAGGGGGTTGAGCGATCAACGCCGCAGCAGCTCAGCATTGCAGGCGAAGGCTCCGAATGGTAAAGCCTTTCAGGAGGTTGTTCTTGTAGGCCTCCACAAGGTCCGAAGGTTCGCGTGCCCAAGTGTTTTGCCATCAATCTCCGCATGTGCCATCAATCTCTGCCCCAGAAATGCTCCGCAACATGTTCCCATGAGACGCTGGATTCGGGAAACCTGGATTCGGGATGGTTCGGGGGGGGGGGCTCGGGCGTCTAGGGGACCAGAGAAACAGATTGCTACATGTTCCCGGGAACTTGTCCCATGAAAGCTTCAACGTGCAGGGAGCTCTTCGGAAAGCGAGGAGCAACTCGGTGTCCCAGAATCTCCACAGCCAACTCTGCTAGCAGGTGCTACTTTAGACTATTGGACAAATCAGAGAGGTGCTGCGATCTTCCTTCGAACTTGAGGTGACCTTCACTTGGCTTCAACGCCCCAATCTGCCCGCCGCCGCCTCGTAGACTTGGGAGAAGCACTCGTAGCCATTCCTGGCGCCCCACGAGGCGTCATGCGTCCGCGGCCCCTCACTCGTGTCGCGTGACGGGTGACCAATTGGCCCCCAGTCCTCGCAGAGAGCCAGATGTCCAGGGGACACAGCCAGACATCGGTTTGCAAGTAGGAAACAGGATGGCAAAGGCTCTGGAGGCACAACAGTGTCAGCGCACAAGCTGACGGGTGAGGCTCTGGAAGATTAGTTAATGGGCCCTGGGAACCATTGGTTGGTAGAGGAAAACCATCTTCCAGGAGGCCAAACAGTCAGGGTCCATGTAAATGTTCGGACGTCTTCATGGTTTCACTGAGGAGGTTCGCTGATTTGTCCAGCAGAACCAAGTATGACGGTATGACCAGCTATTCCACTGTAACACTGCGGCGTTGTTTTCCTCCTCCCTGCCCTCCTCCCTGCCTGTCGCAAGGATCCGGCCCTTGGATGAAGCCCCAGTCACTGAGGCCCACGATGATGTCCATGTCCCGCTTATAGGCTCCATCCAAAAAGCTCCGGTGGCTGTAGTTCCTCACATATCTGACGATGCCTCTCCCCAACGCCAAGAATGAACAGCCCTCTCCAAGTATGCAACAGGAAACCGTTTCAACCTGTGCGTGCCATGACTATCTGAAGGTGAAGGCTCAAGTCTGGCAGTGGACAAACCAAAATCACGATGTACATCTTACATCTGAGTCATAGTCCAAATGATCGTCATCAAATGATGTATATAGGTCATGTGAATCATAATCCACGGCTATCAGTTGGATAGGTGAATAGGAATCAAAATATATCAACATAGACTATCATCATCCAAATCCTAGTGAATCATCAAATGATATGCGAAACAGAATCCTATGACTCCAATGCGCCAAATTGTCTGGTAGAAGTTCTCCCAGCAAGCAGTAAACCATCCATGTGGAAGTTTCATGTGTAGCCCAATGGATTTAGTCAGCGCTCCAAAAATTCTGCCAAGAAGATCCAGAAGGTCGTTGAGGGGTCTTCTACCTATTCTATACACACACACACACCCAAACATGAAACATGAAAGCACCTTGGCGAATTGGGATGTTTTAAGATGCCTATAGAAGAAAAACCTCTCCAAAGAGAATGGGAAGCCCAACCTCGGCTCTCTGCAACATGTGTGGTACATCTCAACAAGGGTCGGTCAAGGGTTAAATAAGAACTGTTACCATCTTCTATAGTCTATCGTTGTTTGAGGTTCTTGGATGGATCTCCATTCACAGAAACATACACACATCACCAAAAAATAACGCTCATTTGGAAGCTTTGTCCATCCGAGAGGCACGCAAACCCGTCCGACTACGCAGCCGAGAAAAGCGCAGCGCTCCGAACCAGCCGAGATGCAGATCGTTGCCGTACATGCGCAACCTGCACGGCGGAGCAGTTCTTTGGCGCGGTGGAAGAAGCTGGAATTGAAGGTGCATGTTTTCTCTTACCCAGACACTCCATGTATGTATGCCTACATTGGGGTGGTTTGAGGGGTCAATGTAGGCATATATGTCCTTTTGACCCCGCGTGCCCAACGTTCGACTTTCGGGCGCACCGACCGCTACCGTGCTCGGACGCTTCGCTTCGCTCGGAGCTCGGCGGCGTCGCTGGTGGCGCAGGCCACGAGTCACGACCGGAGTTCCAGAAATGACATGAGATGTCGTGCCAACCAGCAGTCTCCAAGTGAGTGGATGTGACAGGGGCACCCCTAACCTCCATGGATAGCACCCCGACATGTGACTCCTGGAAGAGAGATTTTTGGTGACCTGAAAAACGACACGACTGGGGTACCTCAGGGAAGAGATGAATTAGGGAAGAGACGAATTCGGGTTCTTCCAACCTCTGTTGGTGCGTTTATATAGGCTCTGTATGGTAGTGGAGGAAGGTGCTGAAAAGTGAGACGCATGTTTTCCTGCATGTGATTCAAGTCACATCCAATCGCATCGCTGGCTACGCACAAGATTTGACAATGTGAAGCTTCACTTGTTGCTGGTGTGACACCACACCTTTTCCACATGATTTGAAACTGGATGACTTCATGCACGTGGCTGCCAAGCTGCGTATTCACACCCATGGATTTCAGCAAATCCAAATCTCCACGGCCCCAACTGTCCCACATGGCGCCCGTGATGTCCTTAGCGGTCGGCGTTTTTCTCTCCTCGTGGGTCATGGCACCCAGATCCCCAAACCAGGCTAGGTGGAGCTTCTGAGTATATTGAATCCATTCTGTTCATTCTCTCTGGTCAACTGCAGGTCACCCAGATATGAGACCCACGCCCATCTTCCACCTTCGCAACAGGTGCAGTGGGCACCTCCCGCGGGGTGGGGGGCAACGGTTCCCTCTCTTCGGTGGTCTTCCGCCGGGCTTCAGGGATCGCCCCGCTCCCCGAGCCGGTCGTGGGGTCTTCCGCTGTCATCTCCACCAGGTCATGGGCATCTCCTTCCCGACCCAAAAAAGCAAGGCCCTTCCCAAACATCACGGTAGTCTGCGTCATTGTCACCTACAGCAATTGAATTCATTGCAGTAGCTGATAGTAGCTGGCTTCCAGTGCCTTTCCGACCAATCAGCTGATCTGGCTGGTCCATGGCTTCAACTCCCTAAGATCCATCTTGACCACTCCTCCCACCCTTAGCCCTGCTCGCATCTGCTCGCCCTCCCACCCGGCACGTGCGAGTCTTGCCCGACCCAAGAGTCTGTCATGAAATCGTCATCGGTCAACAGAACGCCCGTGTTCTTCAGCGGAGACCTCGGCTTGGCCGGTCGTGTCGGCGGTCGGCTGGACGCGATGTCCTCCCAAATGAAGATCGAGTTGATTCAGACAAGTGCTCGTAATAACCAGCATGCCAGAGCTGTGCTAATCTGATATGGTGATATGGTTGATAGTGGCACCTAAATAGATAGAAACAGTGTCCAACACATTTGGGTGTCTATAGTCTATACATGCACGCCTTAGACAATGTGGTTCGGATGCTTTGGGTTTGGTGGTGCTTCCATTGGGTGTTCCAGCTTGAAACCACCTGTCCATCAGACTGCTGATGCCAACGGCCAATCCATCTCGGCTTCATCTCTTCCCAGAATGGCTTCAAGGAAAATCTACAGGAAAACCCGTAGTTTTTGGGTGTGGCATGTCCATGGGGTCCTGTGGGTGTTCCCATTCAACCATCTTCAACCCACTCAAGTTCGCGAAGTACTTGGCGTCTGTGTCACGTCCAGTGGCGCTCCATAGGAGACGCCCTTCATGGGATACTGGTGCTGAGACCGGTAGGTGGGCACCAAGTACTGCTGATACCTGGCCAAGGCGTCGGGTCGCGACGGGCAGCTGGGACGGGCATCTCTCTGGCCCGGCCCTCCCGGGGATCTTATCTCTACCTGGCCAGCAGATTTGCCAGACTTCCAAGACCAGTCAAAAAAATGGGAACGACCTGGTTTTTGTAATGTAAAATCCTTAGTTGATTCGGGATATTCAGCCTATGAAATTAATGGTGGTTGGAAGTCTGGGGGATTGACCTGGAAGCCCGGGAGTAGTCTTCCCGGTGAATGCCTCCCGGGTCCATGTGCGTCTTCACTGGGACATGTTATCCTCGCTGGGGTTAAGCTTAGGTTTAGGGCGATAGACCTACGTGGAACTTGAGGCAGGCTCACACAAGAAAAAGGCAACCCTGAATGAAAGTATTTTCACTGGTGAGCCCAAGGCTTCAGCGATGACCGGACCATGCCACAAGAAGACGAGCTCATGGCAATCCATGGCAATGAGAGCTTGCTGCAAACGTTCTGCAAAACACCACATGTTTTCAGGCCACGACCCAACAAGCAAGGGAGCCAGGGGAACTTCCCATCGCTCTGAGTTCCGGCTCATGTGGCTGATCCTTTGAGCACCCTTCGCTTCCGGGCCAGAACGCTGCCTGAGCGCTGCCTGAGGCAGCGCAGGCAGCGCAGACAGCTCAAGGTGTGGCGTCTCTTCCACTTCTTGACCACCCCACCGGCCCCGCGGGCCTCACCATGCAGGGCTGTGGGCACAGTGTGGCATTCATGAGGTGCCTCGCAACAGCACCCGGGCGCAGCTAACAGCAGATCAGGTCTTTGGGGGGGTCCCTGCAGGGGGAGGCCGCCTCCATCTCCAGGTAAGATGGAGGCACCCTGCATGCTGTATCCTGCATCATCCTGCAAGTGATGCAAACGTTGAAACCCCCAGCTGTGGGCTAGTAGGGGTGGTCAATCCCAAACGACTCAACTTCACCTTCATAGTCAAGGGCTCGGAATTCGAACTCCTTCCTTTCTGGAGCTCCGTTCGAACTCCCCATTCTTCCTGCGCCCCTGAGAAATAAATGGATGCTTCCCCAAACACCCACGTCCTATGCAACGGATCTCAATTGCCATATTGGAACAACCATTTGGCTGTTTGGGTTTCCAGGAAAGTACTTATACACGCTCTACTACACTCCCCAAAAACAAGATACCACCCCAGCTGGTATAGCAACGCCTCACCTTCTGCACCGTCGAACATGTTTGGGGCAAACCGGGCAAGCCTTTCTGTTGTTGGCAAGTTGGGAGTCCACAGCCAACCAAGAAACGACACTCCCAACTTGTTGAACTGCGAGGTCCGTGGATATGCAGGTCACAGGTACACTCACCGAAACAATAATGGAAGGGGACAATGTCCACTTAAATGATCATTGTCCTCTACAAGCCAGGTGGTTAGACCTCTTCCTTGATTGATATTCTCATCTCAGGGAGATGTTGGGATTTCTAGCTGAGGTGCTGATGAGCTTGGAACTCTTCAAAACTGGACGCGCCAGCTTGCAGCTCTGGCCACCACTCAGGGTGCTCCTGAGGCAGGTCCCGATGGTTTGATGGGAGCACGAGTGAGAAGCCACCCTGGGGAGAGCCTGGGACGGATTCATGTGCAGTATGGAAAGGATGTTCAATTCAAATGGGGGAGTTTATTGATCAAGAGTCTACATGAATGTAGACGGCTGATGCATCCAAACCCATACTAGTGGAAAGGCTTGGCACTCCCAAATAGGAGGGGGAGGGGCGGCCTTCTTCATCGAACCGGTCCCCATCAAGCACCCGACTCATAGTAGACCAGCACCTGACTCAACCAGTTGGTGAGTGATACCACTTGGTGCTGGTATCGGTGGCTCTGGTGTCTGGCCGTTGGACCTTGCAACTGCTTCATCTCACCGAGCAGCGTAGATGCCATCGGACATGGCCTCGGCGCGGAGTGGCCCTCGCACCACTGAGCTCTCGAAGTCTCAAAGGGACTCCGGTCTTGAGCGGTTGTTTGAAAAGGTGGAAGGAGTGGCCTGAAAACGCCACTAGCTGCTTGGGTATGTCCCGTTCCCTGGGCCCCCACGTGGATGATGGGGAATGGTTTCCTGGCCGGCATCTCTAAAGTGATGTTCCTAGTTTACAGACCCCAAACATCCCCAGACCATCAATGTATGACATATTTACCTACATTGGGGTGGTGCCAGGGGGTCTTTCTGGGGCGGCATATATTCCAGTCCCATTGATGGTCTGGGCCACCACAACAATCTGGTTTTGCAGTGCTGGGAACCCCTTGGACGGATCCAAAATGGTCGGATCGAAATTCGGAGGCCGATGTGTGAGAAACATATGCCCTACTACAGAACTCCTTTGAGAAATTGAGACATAAATCTGAAACACACACCTATAGTCGCACCCAACACCCCCTCTCCCCCCAAAAATTGCGGATGAAACGGTCAAAAGCCACGATCCAAACGTCCCACCCCCAACCATGATCGATCCTTCCGCTGCTCGCTGGGAGCTCCGATCCCAGTTGACGGCGATGAAGCACTCGTCTCCACGCTTAGCGGTGGCACACTCCCCGGCCTTGGGCCCAAACAGAACACCCTCGCACCCAAAAACGCGTAGTGGTGGTGGTGGTGGTGGTGGTGGCGGTGGCGGAAGGACAGACTTTTGTGTAGCAATAAAAACTCGTCCTAGATCTGGACTGGACACCCATTTTGAACGCCATGGAAGCAATATGGTGGAAAGAGGCCGCCCACGTGTGCAAGAAGAACTGTAGCAGGTGGCATGCGGATCCACCCCACGTTTCACTCTGAACAGAGATGGTTTACGAATCTTGACGTCTGAGACATGATCCAGGTGTCTACCTTGTCTTGCTTGATCCAGTCATCATCGAGATGAAGGATGCCGTCCACGGTGCCTTTCCAGGCATCATCCGTTTCTCCTGCCGACTCGACGAGTCGCGGCCCCGGTGGCGGTCACAGCCGAGAGCGTCGTCTGGAAGCCCGAGCACGGAGAAGTGCAACGCAGGAAACCATGCAACGAGCAACTCTGAAACAACCCATGGCTGCCATTCGCCCGACCATGGTGCACAAACATCAAATCTGGAACGTGCGCCAGCGGTTCTCATGTCCAGGATTCTCTCAAAGGATGCACTTTATAGAGTAGAACATGCCACAAACGCTCCTGTTGCATCCTCTGCCGTCACATCCTCCTCCTCCGCCGCCGTCTCCTGTCACTGGTCCATGGTGCAGCTTCTGAGGGTTCAACACCAACAAGTGTCTATTCGGCGCTCCAATTCTGAGCTACAGCCCTACAGGTCAATGACCAGTTCATCATACAGAAACAATACTCAAGGAATCTCAAGAAGGTCAAAGGCCAGGTTTTGCGGGGGTTTTGGAGGGTACAGTCACTAATTAGTTCTGCATCTCGCAAATGTTCAAACCACTTGAGAGAGGAGGGGGTGAACGAAAGGTAGCAGGCAATCACAAGCAACCCTGGTAAAAGTCCATGACGGCGTGAACCGGCGCAGGGGGGATTTGATCCAGGGAGGGAGGGGCCCCCCCCCCGACGAACAACAGAATCAACTCTTACAGGACCAAATTCAATGCACAATCCCAACTCCTGATTGTAATACATTTTTGCTAAAGCAAGGAGAACTCAGGTAGCTCAAGCTACCTTTCGTGATTTCAAACCTCTCCAAGCTCGCCTCTGCAGTGGTGCTGGACGTAGTTGTTACCTACCAGGCTCGACACCGTCACTCCTATGGCCTGGTCCCATCGCAAGGCTCCCTGGGTTTTCCTCACCAAACTCTGGAAACAGGCGGTGTTCCAATCAATCATGATGGCCCTAGCACAGGGTTGGGGCACTCCCTGTAGCTCCTTGGTTCCCTGGGGCAGCTGGGGAAGAACTGGATACCCTAGCTCCTTAGCTCCCTCAGCACCAGCGTGACACTTATGCCCTGCATGGGCCGATATTCCATGCTTCTCTACCCAATCGCCGTCTGGAGTTTCCTTATGCTCACCAGATGTGCCGTTCTCCTCAGGAACACCTACAGGAAGTCCATGGATTGGGGATGATTGGAGTGTTATCGACCCAGCCTCATTGGGTTGGTTGCTACAGATGTTCCCTTAAACCATTTTCCATTCACTCCATGCATGGCATATTCACATACATTGGGGTGGTTGAAGAGGGGTCAATGTTGGCATATGTACCATACGTGGAGAGGTCTGGGAATGAACTTCGGTCCATTCTGCGATTCTGCGAGCCCGACCTCCGCCTCTGTCGTCGTGGTGGCAGGCGCCGCAGGCGCCTGTCAAGGCGCTGGGCATGGTTGGACCCTGTTCGGTGCCCTACAGCCATCCTGGCAATGAAAGTGACACGTTGGAAAAAATGATTGGCATTGGGTTGCTGAGGGACATCCAGGCTCTGATCGAACTAATCTTTCTTTTGCCTCAAGCATTGAAGCCATCCAACAAGGCTCCTGTGATGAACCCGAACATCTGTGCAATATCTTTTTGGCCTCAAGCATTGAAGCCATCAATGCTCCTGTGAAATGTCCCCCCCCGAAACTGCTTGGACCTGACCTCCCTACTAATGAGCTGCGTCTTCCATGGCCACGTGGCCACACGACCAGAGTCGACGTTCCCACCCTCGCTGTTCTCACACGCTGCTCCGGCCGTCCCCGGCGGTCCGAGCCGCCGCGGCGGCCTCGGAGGCCTCCTCCTTCGCCAGGCACACGGCTTTGAAATCCGAGCCTCGGCTGAGCAGCTCAGCGACCGTCCGAGGCGCTTCGGGCCGTCCGAGGAGCTGCGACCGTCGGACGTCCTACGGGTTTTTTGCGGCACGTGCCGGGGCTCGCATCTGTAGCAGCTGGTTTCATTGGTGGCCCGTTTTGATCCGGGTCATTGGATGATGTTTTGATGTTTTTGGAGGGCGGCTTTTCTGAAGGAGCAACTCGTAGTTTGGCCCAAGCTGGGTGCGATTTCCTCCCGCGCGAAGCTTTATTGCACCAGATTTACTGCAGGTTCCTGAAATCAGAACTGCTGCAGCTGAGCCTCCAGGGCAAATGAACGAGTACAACAACTATCAACAACTCCTGCGGATGACTAAGGTCTGGGCAGCAATTTCCAAACTTCGCACACTTGGCAGTGCACCTCATGGCCCAATGGCCGGACTCCCAGACGGAACGGAACGATGCCGGCCAAAACGGTGGACGCCGAGAGAGTCCTGCCGTTCACTGGGCACCGAATCCTCGGGATCACTGTAAGGCTCCAGGACACCACATGTAGACTCTTGACTCTTGATGATGTCAAACTCCCAGGCCTGTTTGGAGGTGGTTCAATGCAAGATGGTGATTTTTCTCAAGAGTCTACATGTCATCACCCGTCTCTTTACTTGGATTTGCTGTCCAGGAAGCCAGGGAGAAAATAAAACATCTTCTCCGTGCCACAAGATTCACCCGGTTCGGGACATAAGAAATTATTCGAACACCGCAAAACCAAGTGTACTAGGATGCTGTGGCCCTCCTCAATCCAACGGTGCCATTTTCAGATGTATGCTGCTATCCAGATGCATGGTCTGGTGATGTCTGGTCCAAACAGAAGCGATCCGGGATGTTGTCAGGTGCAAGTTGCCTGGCTCTCAGGGTAAGGGGACTAACCCCAAACGGCTGGTATACAGTTCAGCTTAACACCATGAATTGCAGAAGATGGCATGAGCTCCACAGCATACTGCAGTGTCTTGTGTAAACTTCTGCACAACACTTCAGATCTATGTCACTGCAACCTGGCTCTTCACACCCTAAACCATTTCTACTCACCTGATGAACATCCACCCCAGTCAGAACAGCAAAGCCTCCCCTCCCTTTGCAGAACTTTCGTTGAGCCACTGGCAGGGATGGTTCGCCACGTACTTCTCGCTGCAGCCGAAGCTGGCGCAGCTGGGCGCCGCGTCTTCCTCCGGGACCGTGGGGGAATCCACGTCGCTCCCCAGCGCCGCATCCTCCTTCTTGACGCAAGTGGCTTGATAGTCCGGGCCTGGCAATGAACACAAAATTAAGGGGAAAAAAGAAACTCTAAAAACGTGAACGTGTTTGAGGTTTTGGCTCAAAACCTGTTATAAAAATACATAACAACTTAACGCTGGGGGTGGCTCAATTGATTCGCGAGCAGGAACAGGGTCCACGTCCCCAATCCCCAAAGCTTTAAAGGTTCCAAAAATCTTTCGCGGGGCTGAAACTGCGGCGCCTACCCCAAAACATTTTGCAGATTGGAGTCAAGGTGGGAGGGGCTTGAGCTTGTCCGGCATTAGTTAGGTTGGCACAACAAGCCGCCAGCTAGCAGCGGCTGAAGCCGTGGATGCCTTGCGTTTCAAAAAAGACTTCAACTCTGTTATAAACATGTATAAATAAACGGTTGATAAACGCTTTTCTGCAAGTCCGGCGCAGGCTGTCAAACACTCATGTATCTTTACAGCGTGGTGTGTGATTGTCATTCGACGTCGATTTGGAGCTGAGGCTCCCGGCAACAGTTCCCAAACTTCTTGCACTGTGGGGTGCACTGGCATGGATGGTTTCGAACCTGAGATCGGTGGGTGGCACCTTCATGGGCTGGGACAGCACATGTGGACTCAGGGAAACCGTGCAATTGGGAGGCAGGATTCCCGAGGGCAATTCATGAAACCTGAGACTTCCAATTCAACTGTGCTTAGATCTTGGTGAAGGGTGAACTTCACATAGAATTCTCATCATCAAAAGGAGCTCGGAAGTCTTGCCCTGCTTTTCCAGGGCGCTTTGCAAAGCTTTGCTGCCTTTTTTCTTTGAGTTGCTTCACCTTATGCAATATAGAACATAACTTGTAGAACATACTATAGAACATCTAAGGTTCGAAACCTTCCACACTTCGCTGAACCCTGTCCGCTTCGGCGGGTCGCGAACTCCCCGCAGCCGTAGGCGGCGCAGGTTGGAGCGGCCTGGTCCTCAGGGGTCGGCGGCGGATGGAGTCGAGGTTTGTTGGAGGGCTTTTTGCCCGGATGGATTGGATTGGACATCAACATCGAAAAAAACAGGTATTGATATTGTAAAGCAAAAATTGTGATCAAAAATCAAACTCAATATTACTATAGTACGGTTGTAAGGTTATTCTAGCACCAATTCATTAACAACCCACTATCAAAAATCAAATCGATAGTGGATTGGAAGCAGGGAATCCTAAAATTGTGCATTGGCATCTCAGGATGATTACAATGTGTCCTTTCGACCCTCTCGCTGCTCGCTCTTTCGACCCTCTCGCTGGCGAGCCAAATCCTATCCCGTCTTTGAGTCCGAAGTGATGTGAAAAAGAACACCAATCAAGTTGAAATCATGTCCAAATCCACCCCCGCACACTTCCACCGGCTTCATCCCTTCGCGCCGTGCCGCACCGCTTCGCCTCGCGTCGCGGAGCGGCGGTGGCCTCGCCCAGGTGCCGCGAGAGCCGTTCGCCGCGCAGCTGGCGCAGGGAGAGCTCGGCGTCCTCGCACTCGCCTGGTGAGGTCTGGCGAGCCAAAGGGGCGACGTTCGGTCTTCGTTCGGTCTGCATCGGGGCGGCGTGGGCTTTGGGGAGGGAGAGAACCGAACAGCGTCGGAGTCGGTGACAGTGTCATGTTTTTCACAAACAAAGGTACGTAAAAAAAGGTTGAAAAAACATGGCCCCTCCCTTGTGCCAGGATTATGTGGGTGGTACCCTGGAATAATTTTCTTATTATTCCAGGGTCATGCACATACATGTGGATAAATTATTCCTGATGTATCCCACACCGTGGAATAATTGATGAAATGCATACAGCTCATATGATTGAAAATGCTTGGAATCTGCAACGCGCTGAGGCCTCGACCTTTTTCCCCTAAAGATCCATGCAAGGGTCTGTTTTAGATATTGTATTCGGCAGTCGGTGCCAAATGAAAGGGCTCTGAGGAAACTGCCATACGACAAGAAAGATTTCATGGAGGATCATGGAAAACGACTGGAGGATGGCTGTCTTGGGACAGGTCTGGTTGTGATCTTTGTTCCGCGCAGGACCTCAAAGCCCAAGATCCCCGAAAGATACATTGTTGTACATTAGGTTCACCTGGACCCAATCCACAGGTGAGAAAATGTCAGACATAATGAGAAAGGACAATCTGAGATCATTGAGATCCCAAAACCGTGAAATCTTCACATTAAACATTAGGAAACCGTTCACTTCGGGTAGGTTTCAAGCAGCCATCCAGGAAACCTTGAGAAACCTTGAAGCCATTCACTTCTCGATCACTTTCTCGATCTTCAATGGCTCCACTGTTGACCGGCAGATTTCAAGCAGCCATCGAGGAAACCTTGCGGGATCATCGTGAGGAGATGGTGTGATCCCCTGCAGCTCGTGCAATACGTGATGCCCAAACCTCAGATAAGGATATATAAGAAAATAATTCTGCCACCCAAGACAACTGAAGTACACTGGAATAATTAAGACCAAAACCTAGCCTGATATTATCTGGCTGATTCCTACTGCTTGGGGACCCTGGAATAATTTGGACACATGTTCATCTTCTATGATACTGCTTGGGGACCCTGGAATAATTTGGAGACATGTTCATCTTCTATGATTCCTCATGGAGTGTTCGCGTGTTCTTTACTATTATCTTGAGATTGAAACAGAACTGCTAAATTAGAAAGCTATTCCAAAACATACTTATAAATGTCTGTGAGGAACGGCAAGGCTCGGACCTCCTTGGGCATCTTATTGTAGTGATCGCTGCCTTTGGAGAATTTCTGAATGAAGTACTGCATGCTCCTGGCCTCAAGGCTACCATAGTCCACAGACTCCTTCTTGTTGAAGCGAATCACACCCTTCTTGTCAACCAACGGGTGGAACATCTTTTCATAGTCCTTCACCATGTTTTTCAAGTACTTGTGAACGTTGGCATGACCATTGGTGTTCTTGTTGAAATCTGCTGCTGTAAAGTATAGCGTTGCAGGAACATCCTTTTTCTCCTCAGTGAAGGCAACTGGCTCTTGTTGCGCCCGTTTCCAGGCACGAAGAGCGGGCTTTTTGATCAAGAACGTTTGGTAGTATTTCGTTACCCCGGCATCTTCCCATGCTGTGGCAGGTACTTCGAAAAGCACGGCACTGCTATGAGGGTCAAAGAGAAACGCAGGCGACACACTGGAGAGCACAAAGAAGTGGTCATCTTCCTGAGGCTTCACAGGCATGAGCAACCTTACCCGGATCTTTGTTGCAAAGCTGGCATTTAGCTTGTGCATTGGCCAGACATACTGGGCCTTTCCCTTGCCTCCTCGCCACCGGTGCCAGGAATGGTTGAACAACAAGAACCTGAAAATCTCTCACCTGCTTTTCATCGTCATCCTTTGCATCCTTGAAGAAAGAACAAGGCCGGAAGTTCACTGGCTTCATAGCGCCCCGCCCCCAGGTTTCCACTTTGTCATCATTCAACTTCTCGACAATCCTCTCCGTATACTGTTGCCACAAGCCATGTCTCGTCTGTCGCGAAGCGCAACAGTGAAATTCTGCACGAGCTTTGGCAATCATGTGCTCAACTGCGTTGTTTCTTCTGATGCACTTGGCGCCACGAAGGGCTGCAGGAGTCAAGATTCCCTCAGCCAGCCTCACTGTCGCTCCAAAGATTGCCATAGATGGACACATCTTGCGAATTCTTCTCAGCATGTCGACCTCGCCATCCTCCTTGCCAGGCTTGAAGTTCAGCAGGCCAGCATTGAACAAGATGTCATAGAGACCATAGACTTTCTGCTCTTCGATGACTTGCTTCTTGTTTTCCTGCACATACTCTGTTTCGCTGTCGGTATGTGCGTCTGGCTGAGATGTCCTGACCATTTCGGGATCAAGGCTCGCACCATCGACAGAGAGTTTGGCAATCTCTTCCTGCAAAGCCAAATCAGTCTCTGTAGATGCAACCGCTTGAACGAAGAGGGCATCCTGAGGATCACCTTCCACTGCCTCTTCCTGGCTGGAATTGGATGCAGATTTCTTTCGAAAACCAAAAAACACATGGTGGTTGATCAATATTCTTTCATCCTGGAATGGCCATTCTTCGCGGAAAAACACAGCTACTCAGGGTCACTTGCAGCATCTGCAGCGCAACTCAACCCAATCCTCGTGCCAGCTACCAACACAGGGTGATGCAGCTTGGGGAATGTTGGGGGGCCTCAAGCTGGGAACCTGGACTTTAGCGGCACATTCGCGGAACTTTCGCGAAATTTCACTGGCGCTTTCCCGGACAAACCGTACGCAAACATCTGCACAGCCCGTCAGAGCAGCTGCAGGTCGTTGCCTCACTGTCAGGGCTGCGCCTACTCAGGTTGCTTGTCTATGACAGTGGGGACAGGAATCGGAGAATCCTTTACGCACTGCCAGGGCTGGGCACGGAAATATTGAGGCTTCAATTCGTTAGTCTGTGACACATGGGGACACTTCCGCCCCCCGGCTCTGCCGGAAGATTGCCTTGTACTTCTATTCTTTGTCAGTCCCTTAGAAAGGAAAACGTATGAAAGCGATGACCTTCGATAAATCTTTCGCGGAAAAAAGATACTTTCGCGAACCTCATCGCGAATCTTTCGCGGATGGTTCTAACAACATCTGAAAGGCTGTTTTATATAAAACTCCTTACACGGGGTTTTCGATCAACTCCCACAAAAAAATCACTCTATTGATTGTATGTGGTTGTTTGTATACCTATTCCTGACCAAATAATCGCGGCTGTAGTTTTCGGGACCAGTCCTCATGTTCACCGAAATGATCATCATCTTCTGCCTCTACCAGAGCTGCATCAGAATCATCACCGGATTGCGACAGGAAGCAGTCGTGACCATGTTCAGCCCACCACTCACAAAGCTCTGCGCGGAGGTTCTCCGGGTGAACGCCGGTTTGGCAAGCTGCAGCAAAGGTGCAAGCAAGAGACAAGCTCTTTTCAGCCACGGAGGTCAAATCAAAGGATTCACTTGCCAATGTTCTTGTAGATGATGCCTCGATTTTATTATTCCAGGGTAGTAAGCTGGTGAATTAGTGTGAAATACAAATGTTTCATTATTAGAATCTCAGGCAAACATGCCATATCTGGGTTCATTGATCATATTATGGAAATTATTCCTGGGTGTTGAACCAGGTTGCATGCTGAGAACAAAATGCAAAATAAATAAATAAATATATACATATGCATATTGTCAATACAGCAGACCAAAAATAGAGTCAATTAGAACCAATTAGAATCATCTCGTAAATTATTCCACAGTTCTTGACCTTGTCAAAAAATGCTGAATAATTGTCCAAAATACTGTCTTGCCATAGGCGCCGGACATGGAGTCCATCAGGTGAAGTAGATGAGCGGCCTGGATGCTGTTTGCAGTTGTTAGTGATCCTGGAAAGCGTTGGCAAGTTTTGACTCTCCCAAACCACCTCTCTATTGAATCCTCCATGCAAAGGGATGGCTCGTAGCACGCCGACGCAGGCCAGGAATGGAACCGAAGAATGGCATGTGCCAGCATACGGTAGAGGTTGCGGGTCGTGACCTTAGCCATAAAGACTTGGTCCCACGCAGTGCCTCGGCGTTTGTGCGCCCACATCACTAGCAGGACCACAAGGTAGAAGGCACAGATGGAATTTTCAATCAGCTGATTGATTGTAAAGGCTTGGCTTGCTGTCCACATAGACATTGAAAGAGCTGTGAGAAACCTGTGTTCATCCGGCTGAACTAAGGTCACAGCGCTCCCCACCAGTGATCTACAGTTGGCTGGATATGGTTGGGTCCAGTTCCAGGTGTTTCTTTTGACTAACCGTGTGCGCCTATGGAATATGAGACATTGAAAAAAACATTAAAAATAATTCCGGACATGAAACAAATCGAAAACAACTTGCTGGAATCATGAAAGAGCAGCTGAAAAAGGTTGAGCCCCACATCATCAAAGCGAGGTTCTAAGACATACCGTGGGTTGAACAACCTGGCGGCCTCCAAATCATTGTGCACATCTCTGCCAACGATGCTCTGCAGTGGGCAACCGGCCAAAGTCAGCGGGTTACAACTCACAGGCAACCCAAACCTGGATCTCATATTCGAAAGCAAAAAAGGATAACCTAAGAACAATAAAAAATGAAAAAAACGGGAAAGGAATGTGATTGACAGAAGTCTGACTTCCAACTCCTGAAAGAATCTAAAAAGAATTGAAAGGATTGGGATTGATTTTGGTTTGGATGGGTTTTGACTTTCGAAGCCCAGGAGCATGTGCACAATTCTTCCCTGCGATCTTATCTGTCTGGACAATGCCTTCAGGACATGCTTCGGGTCGTTGACTGCATGTAGGGGGTGCTCGGACCTGAATACCATCGTCCGGAAAGGAAACAGAGGAATATTCGGGTCCTTCTGCATGGGCTTGCATTCTCGAAAAAAAGGTACATTTGCATACTCCGCTGGCTTCAGTTGTCCCAGGAAGAAGGAATTGGCTGTGGAGAAGCTGAGGTGATTATCGTACGCGTAGG